ATATTATGGACTCCGGACAATGTGCGTTCCTCTGGGTCTTATTGACAAAAGTTATGCAACTTCTATACAAAGAAAGCAGACCGCAACAATACTAAAGGCCATACCATCTTGGTCCTCATACTTTCAAGAATCCAAACTTTACGAAATAGAACAAAAATGTGCAAAGCCAAGAGAAAGGGCCACTTGAGACGTTGAACTGTAACTCGAATCTTGTCGGGTGTGCCGACGAGATACGACATGGCGAGTTCGAGGCTACACTCAAGCCTGGACGGGAAAGTCTTCTTTGAAGGCAAGACTACGTGGGACTCAATGACATCATGAAGTCGTAATGAATACGTCTCCACCCTCGGTAGTGGCACCACTTTAAACCCGCCAATTCAACTGATGTTTTTGTTCAACATCTACCCTCAGTGTCGAGGCAGACTCGCAGACTAATCCCTCGAGGGATAGAGGTACAGAGGGCCTTCACAACATACGGCAGGAGCCCTTCCGGTACCTACTCCCGGAAGAGGGCTATGTGTTGATTCTTGGCAGCCTTGGCAACGGGATCGAGGCGTTAACTGTGCGCGATCAGACTACAGCATCACTGGGTCCAGCTATTTGTCCAGGCTACCAAGGTTACCTTGACTGTTCTCTCTTTTCTTCCATTCTTCAGATGTGGAACGACCACCAGCTCACTTGGACCGAGGCTGACTTTGGAGGACTCTCGGTGACCATATTGCCAGCCAGTTATCTTTGGAAGCCAGACATTGTTCTTTTCAACAAGTGAGCTGATGCTATTCTTATTTGCATAACTTTTTATGCTACCCGAAGTGTGGTTCAACATTGAATTGGCACACAAGAGACTAGGGCATGGCATCATAGACTATGTATTAGGGATAGAAACAGGATAGAGACGGCGGGGACCGGAGCTATTTGGCTGACGATAAGTCTGTTGTACCAGAGACGTGGTACATGTAGCAATGGGGTGACCATAACACTAAGAGGCTTGAGCCTCGAATTAGTCACCCAGACGCAGGGGAGGGCGAATAACGCCTCGAGTAGGACTGATGTGGTGATAGAAGTCGAGTGAAATAGGCGAAAAAGGGGTAGAGCAGACGGATTTTACGGAGCAAGAGAGAGACTGGTATAAGACTAGGGAAGAGCACTGCATA